AAGAGTGTGATTGTGTGAGTGTGAGTGAGTGTGTGTGTGTGTGAGAGTGTGTGTGTGTGTGTGTGTGTGTGAGTGTATGTGTGAGTGTGAGTGAGTGTGTGTGTGTGTGTGTGTGTGTGTGTGTGAGTGTGTGGGTGAGAGTGTTTGTTTGTGAGCGCCTGGTATTCCCTGTGTTATCAGGACCAAATGTCCCCACTAGGATAGTAATTCCAATCATTTTTGACCTTGTGGGGACATTATTATTATTATTATTTTTTGGTCCCCATGAGGAAACAAGCTTATTAATCTTTTTTTACACATACACACACACACACACACACACACACACACACACACGCAGACAGAGATGGGGAATGTTTTGTTTTAATTTATTCATTTTTAAATATTATATGAACTCATAGATTATGGGAATCATGCAAAGTTAATTTTAATATAATACACTTTGGAATAATGCAATGTTTATTTTCGGCCCATGTCCCTCAGTAAAGTTAGATTTTTGGCCCTTCATAGGAAAAACTTGGTGCACCTCTTTAGACTAAATCTCAACATGCATTTACTCATCTCACCTGCACAAAAACAGATTCAGTATTGCACAAAATCAATAAAAACAGTGAAATACAACTCAGAATATGACACAAACCTGCAATAATTAAATATGTTAAATAACATAGATAACCTTTATGTATTTAATCCCATTGTATTAACCAATTTCTTTGCTGTTGACTTTCAATGATCTAATTCAACTGCACTAAGAAGCAGAAATGACTTTAAATAAACATTACATTTGTGTTTCATTTTTTATGATTAAGAACAAAGGTGTTGAACTTTCTTCTCATGCATCTTATTTTTCATGCAATCCAGAATGGCAGCACAGCTGAAAGCATTCACTTTTGGTGGGAAAGTGCTTTTACGTTTGCCAAAAATAGAACTCTTTCATATTAAAAACAAACAAGCAAGCCCAGCTGAGATGAGAAAAAGTAATGCAAAAGTAACCTAATGCATTACTTTCCATAAAAAGTAACTAAGCAAGTTTTAGGAAGTAAGGCAATATCATAATGCATTACTTTTAGTACCTATGATCAGATGAACCTAATGCATGTTAATATGCCCTCTACCATTAACAACTTACATTCTATAAGCACACATATGTGTTGTAGCAATAAAATCATAGACATACTACATCCGCCATGTTGGGATTGTCACGTGACTTACAGTAACAGTACAGTATCGGCTGTGTTGTTTTTTTCCATCATTTGTGAATATGATGACTCCTGTAAAGCATAATAATTAGTGCTGTCAAACAATTAATATACATAATAAATGTGCACAGTACACACACACACATATTGTGTAAACAAAAACTTTTATTTTGGATGTGATTAATCACGATTAATCGTTTGACAGCACTAATAATAATTAACCCTTAATGATACACTTTCCATTGTAACTAAGGGTTTTCTTCTTTTAAAGGGTTTCTTGCAAGTGGGCCCAGGTATTGTTTTGCCTACTGTTTCATGACTACAGCTTATTCTTTCATATTCATTCAGCATGGCCTGCTGCTTTTAGCATATATATATATATATATATATATTATAGCAGGGAGGCAGGCATGTTCAGATGTGCCAGTTGGTATCTAAAAGCTAGGTTCATTACGCAAATGAAAAGATTTGAGAAGATTACCTAAAACAACATGTAGGTTTAAAATATTGTTCAGCTTGTCAGTCAATGTTAATTTGCAAATGAGGCAGAAACCATAAAACTGGAAAATACATGACATGTCACAGTGAAAACATTTGTCTCACGTGATGCATAAATGTCTCAACACCTGGCAATCTGTGCTGTCATAGTGACAAAGTAGCAATTTTCAAATATGTAGACAAATAAAATGTACAAATGTAACATTCTATTTATCAGTTACATTTTTTTTATATATATATATTATATTTTTTTATCCATGTTTGTTCATAATGCAGTAACTAATGTAATTTTGAGATAAAAAAGTACTTTTCACATAAAAAAAAAACATATTGCTGGTAAAAATGAACATTAACTGAGATTAATAAATGAATAACTATTATTAACTAACAAGAAATGAATGAGTAAATATTAGCACTCATTTGAATACAGTAGTTCACTATTAGCTCCCAGAGAACTTCTGAGAAAATATTGATCGCCGAGTGCTATTACTGACCAATCAAAACATGTTTCTTGTTGGCTAAGAGTAGACTAAAATGTTAATATTGCAAAGCTCGTTTGTTGTGGAACACTGTGTGGTTCTTCATTAATGCTGGAGCAGCAGTCTGAAGTGTTACCAAATGCTGTGAAACACTGTTCATTGATAGGTTGTGATACCTAAAGCTTTAACTGATTTGAAAGAGCTGAACACTGTTGTTTGATGAACAGCTGGATGTGTGATAACACGCAGATGTTGTACGTTAGATAATAGCTGCTCATGTTTAGTTGTGTGGCTCTGAGACTGTGCGCTTCGTCACTGTGTGTTTTATTCAGTGCCAGACTTGTTTGCAGCGCCTGGAATAGAAACCATCCTGCAGCAATCAGAGCTTGGAGGAACTAGATCCTGTGCCTTCAGTCACAGCTGCCACAGTCTGTTCAGATGCTTTACACCAGTTGCCCTTCAGCCGCAGCGTGAGAGTGAGCCATGGGTTTCCTCGAGGTCTTCCTTCAGCTTGCCTCTCGCGAAAGCGTAGGTGCTCGCGTGTGAATTAGAGCTGTTTTATATTCCTGCATCTCCGGCTTCTCATTTCAAATATTGTCTTCATAAATGAGGAGGTTTTGGGAGTTTGGAATGACACACTATCTACTGTTTTTGAAAGCAGTATGCAGTGTGCAGTGCACATTATGCATGCATTTCTGTCATTTTTTCAGTATATTTCTCATTAGACTGAAGCCAGGAACAACAAATCTACAAGCTTGGAAACAGAGGGTTTTTGTAGATTGCTGACTAAATAAATAAATAAATAAACATAATTACAAATAACTTAGAATAACTGTTTATTAGTACTGTGTTTCTCAGCATGTGATGGGCATCAGAGAGAACGGATTTAAAGTGCTTTTCATTACAAAGTAATTTGTAATCTGATGCATAAACTAACGAACTGACAAATAAATATCGCCCTTCTGTAGCGTCAAACATAATTAGCTGCTGCACTCTTTTTGTTAGTAGCTTGTAATGTTGCTGACTATTTTTTCACAATGTTTGCTGGTCTATAGTTGAACTTCTTTAAATGATGTGTAGCTTGTAGTTTGTCAAGCCGGTTTTAAAGTAGTTTCCCCAGCACTGATGAGCAGTTTTTCTCTGTAGCCACTTACAAATCAAAGTTTCAGATGGGTTCAGGTAGCAGACGTGGTGTGGATTATTCCAGCCTGAGGGAAGTGTTGTTCTGAGCGAGCGGGGAGCGCACAGATTAATGCTATTAGTAAACCCGGGACAGCATGACATCGGCTCCCTAATCTACAGATAATTGAAAAGTGTGGGAATGCCTTGTATAATCAAATAACATATAAATAAAAAAAAACAGAAGCAAACTCTGTTTAAATTGCATAATCATCTGAAACTGGAGTCAGAGCTAGAATCAAACTGCATTAACTTCACAGAAGCACAAGAAGACGACATGAGAAGAGCTTCACCCGTGACGCTCATGACTCAAAGAATGGTGTCCCTCTCACAATACAGTCCCAACAGTTCGAGCTACTGCACACAGACACGGTTCCCTGAGTAAACATATGACTGAACATGACTTTCTTTGACAGCTGAAAAATAATGCAACTGCACTGTTCAGTACATTGAGCTCTCCTCTAGTCAGCGAGCCTGGTAAAGCCAGTTTAAATGGCTGATTTCCCTTCTTCATCAGGGCTGGGACACTGTAACACACACACAGGAATACACTGGTGGACTCATCTGACTCCTGCCAGCAACGCTGTGAGTGGAACTGCTCATCACATGCATAAAATAAAACAACAAACACACTGTATTTCCATGGTCTTTGCCCAACTGCGCTAGATTTACAGTGCAGTGTCTCTGGCGCTGACTGTGTGTCTCGGAAAGATCTTGAAAGAAACTACTGCAACCACTATTAAACTATTCTATTTAAACTTGTGTTCTGACAAAATGAGTTAATAACTGAATAATCGACGACTCAAAGAGCAGAATCCCAGTAAAAGAGAAAGGTTACATTTATTCTGACTTACAGGCATCTGAATATTTACACGTTTAATTGCCCATATTTGAATTGAAGTTATGTCATAATAGAAACAGTATGAATTTAAATTTGAAAAAAATAAATAAAAAAAATGTAATAAATGATTTTCCTCTATTAGCCTGCGGGTTGTAGTGAAAGCGAAGATGTCTGAAATGTACATCTAATTTATTGAAATATTAAATAATAAACCCATTAATTAGAATAAGTATTCAATTCAAACACTAGTGGCCCATCTTACCCCAATGGTCTTATTTGATCTTTTCACTTCAAAATAAAAACATTAAAGGGTTACTCCAGGGTTACTAACCCTTTAACATTGATCCACCAATCCGTCATTAATCAATAGACACTAAAAACTTTGATAATGAACGTAATAATGTTGGGTGTGTGGCTCATCTTACCCTACTATAGTAAACAAGGTAACCCAGCGGACACCTTCATATCAGTTTGACGTCAAGTATTAGTCAAGACCTGATCAAGATGCTGTAACATCATTCTAAACTCTGTTTGGACAGCAATTTCTTCCAGGGGCAATTGGGAGAAAACTGGTTTATTGTAAATGTAGGCCAAACTGTTTGACGTTCAATTTACATCGAATCACCGTCATGTCAAGTATTTGACGTCACATTGATTTGCATGTTTGACCTGTTTTTTAGACATCAGCTTGTTGTTTTTCAGCATCTGTGGGTGACGTCAGCTGTGATGTTAGACTGCAGATTTCAGTGGGCTGTGTGTTTCTCACTGCACACTTGATTTGAGTTTGAATCACTAATGACCCACCTGAGCACACAAGTGTAAAATCCATTGTCCTCCGTCTCTGCGGAGCGGAACCAAATGGAGTCTCCCTCCTTACTCAGCCGGTGACCTGAGAAGATGATGGGCTCCTCGGAGTCGCCCTTGTTCCTGTACCAGATGAGCCGCAGCTTGGCATTCTGGGTCACGCTGTAGTTGGTGCGTATGTAGCTGTAGAAGAGAGCGCACTTCACCCTCAGCGGCTCTCCGGCCAGCACACGGTACGTCTTCAGGTCCACCAACCAGTCGATACAGCCGTCCACTGCGGAGAGAGAAGACGCATCCATTATTAACACCCCCTCGCTGTCATATGCAGGGCTTACTCTGGGAATAGGATAGATATCTGGAGTCTGAAACATACGCTCAATGCCAAAGAGTGATAACAATTAATCTGAGGCGAAATATAATTGATGCAAGGCTGAAAACCAGGTTTTTGTATAGCACTTCTTAGTACACACTGTTTCAATGCAGCTTTACAGAAATCCATCTGAACGTCAGCAAGCCCCCAGATCTCTAGATATGCTCCCTCTTTAGGTGAATGTGGATATTTCCATCCAGCAGGTCGAAATCATACGTCCGGTCCTTTAGAGATGTACTAGCACACCTCTCCATAATATCAAGTGTCCTTCATGTATTTAATGGAGTTTCTTCTGCTCATCAAGGCTGTATTTATTTGATCAAAAATACAGAAAAAAACAATAATATTGTGAAATATTATTGCTATTTTTATCACTGGTTTCCTATTTTAATATACTTTAAAATGTAATGTATTCCTGTGATGCGCAGCTGTATTTTCAGCATCATTACTCCAGTCTTCAGTGTCACAGGATCTTCAGAAATCATTCTAATATGCTGATTTATTATCAGTGCTGGAAACTGTTGCTGCTTCATGTTGTTTTGGAACCTGTGATACTTTTTTCAGGATTCTTTGATGAATGAAAGGTTAAAATATAAATATTTTCTAACAATAAAAGTTTACTATCACTTTTTTCCATTAACACATCCTTGCTGAAAAAAAGTATTAATTTCTTTAAAAAAAAATACTGACCCCAAACTTTTGAATAGTAGTGTATACTGTAACACAAAATGTATATTGTGAATAAACACTGTTCTTTTCAACGTTGTATTCATCAAAGAACCCTGAAAGAATTATCACAGGTCCCAAAGAAATATGAAGCAGCAACAGTTTCCAGCACTGATAATAAATCAGCATATTACACTGATTTCTGAAGATCATGAGACACTGAAGACTGGAGTAATGATGCTGAAAATACAGCTTTGATCACAGAAATAAATTACATATAAACAAATACAATTAATTATATTAAAACAGAAAACTGTTATTTTAAATTGTAATAATAATTTATAAAATTACATTATTTTTTCTGTATTTTGGTTAAATAGATACAGCCTTGATGAGCACAAGAATCTTCCTTAAAAAACATGAAAGATCCCACTGATCCCAAACTTTTGAACGGCAGTGTATGTGCCAGACCTCATAATTGTGGTTAAGGGTTTGTTCAAATGACTGTTAAATAATATAAAATCTTTAAATAATCAGCGGCTAAACGCTTTTATAAAGGTAATGATCAGAGCGAAGCAACCTCTGAAACAAAAGCAAATCCCCTGCACTGCCATCAGCAAAGAGCAACAAAGCCGTTTCCCTCTCACACACACGACACTCGCCGCACGCTCACCGCGCTCCAATATTTCACACTGATAGAAAGATGAAACCCATCAAAGTCACGGCCACCTATCAGCACCGAACGCTGGAATTTATGAGCAATTACAGAGGTGTTTGTGTGCGGATACTGACTCATCACTGCACCCGCCTCCCATCACATAAATATCTCTCACATTCAAAAGCTGCCAGCGCCGATTTACAGTATGTCAAGCGCTGTCACAATCATACATTTACGGCATAGATTTTTGTTATATACGCTCGGCCTGATGAATCTCACAGCTGCGGGAAAGATGAAGGGAGAAAGTGATATCACACATGACTGGACGGGAAGAGAGGGTTGATTCTGAAGGGCTAGAAATCACACACACTCACACACAATCACAATCACACACACACACTCATACACTCACACACTCTCTCACACACACACACACACACACACACACACACACACACAC